CTACTCTTTTACTCATATGCTTTAAATTAAAATTACAAAAAATAGAATTTATTAAATTTCAATAAATTCTGATACCAAACTTATCAACAGTCACAATTAATTCTCTAAATGATCCGTTGCTACGCTATTTTGAAATTATATTAAATTTCAATAAAACAACCCAAAATATTATTTAAAAAATTCAGATTCTTGTTTATCCAGATTAAAATCCACTTCCCATCCCCCTTTTGACAAAATTTACAGAATAAGAATAATTGTCAAAAATCCTTGCGACCCACAAACTGCCAACCAGACGCAACTTTCTCTATTTTCAATAAAACTAGCTATTCAGAAAAATATAAAAACTTTATCAGTAAAACTTTAGCGGGGGAGAGAAAATTTATAGTCATTTAAGCGATGCCAAAGCTTAGCTTTCAAGCTCGACTATTTTTTCCTTATTCAAAAACCGCTTACGTCGTTAGTAAGTCGTGGCAGTAAGGAAGTAATTGTTTCAAATGAGCGTGATTATTTAATATTTTAATATATGTGTGTAATTTTATTTTCAGTATTTCTATATGCATGCCTTTTGCCAAGGCCATCACGTCGCTCTTTTTGAAAAAAAAAATAATTATTTCGTGTCATTTTTTTCGAAAATGCGGTGAAATAAAAGTAAAGAAGCTTCTCTCTTCATTGAGGTAAAGATTCTCGCACATTTTTGTGCAAATATGTTTACACATCTGTATGTGAAAACGCACAAAAAGAATAACTTTTGGATGTTTCTGTATGCCGCATATAAATTGATAAATAAATTTCAAGTTTATTTTAGTGCTGTTGATGCTTTTGGTCATCTCATTAAGTGAGTAGATTTTCTAGGTTTTGATGATGATCATCAAGATAGTTGAGGCTGAATCAAACAGAATGAAATTTTGCAAAAGTGAATATTTTCCATACTAATGTTTAAATTTTAAAAAATTCAAAAATACAGCAAAAAAACAAAAAAAATAAGAAGCAAGAAAAAACTCGAAAATCCAACTCATAAATTGCTAATAACCCATAACTATAAATCCATCTGTCGATATATACCAAAATTCATCTACAATCCTTCTTCTTATTCTCTTAATCCAACACATTTAAGTCCCCTAAACTCTATACAAAATTCATAATCAATTTTCTCAGGTGCAAAAAAAAATTATTTTTATTTTCGTTTCGTTGCACTTTAGCTACGAAAACAAATTGATAAGAAACTTGTACACAAATGCAAAGCCACAAACTCTTTCAAATGTATTGGGAATATTTTCAAAATCACTCAATAGCAAAACCACTAAAATTAAATAAATCATTATATAATGATAAAAAAATTTGTATTTATTTAACGTTGCATTATGCGGATTTTATAGTCATTTTTGGTTTTTTGCTATACAGATTATTATAATTTTAAATCAGATGTCTAAAAATAACTTTTATCACAACTATAACTTTAACCTTAAAATGAGTTCATGTCTAATTTAATGTTATGACTTTGAATTTTAAAAAGTGGAATTTTTAGGCAATCGACTTTCTCACTGCTTTGAAGATCAATGTTTTCATGGCTGGGTACGGTTTTTTTATGAAAAATGTTTTTTTTTTAAAAAGTTGCAGAAATGCAGCTTGAAATGGCTGTGTCTAAAATGTCATCAAATTTGCCTTGAATAATTTTTTTAAACTTCAATATATTATTAAAATTTATAATAGCTCAGCAAATCCTTTAAACTGATCCTTACATCCATCAAAATTATTCAAAAAAATTCATGATCGATTGAACTCATCAAACTATAAACCCCGAATAAGACTTAAAGAAATTAAAAAAAATACGTTACAGAAATAGACTTCATCTCCATAACATCCAAATTAACCTAACCGAAAAAAAGCACATGCGAATGTGAATGAAAAATTATCATAAATTATTGGTTTCTTTCCAAATCAATGCGATTAAATCATTACGAAAAGTTTAGTTTCATTTTAATCTCTTTCTATTTCATAATTTATTTTTCAATAAAGAAATTTAATCTACATGTCCAAAAATGAAAGACTTTTTTTTCTATTTTTTTTTAAAATGTCTATTAAGAGGGGATTTATTTTGTTTTCTAATAATGTCTTTTTCACGGAGGATTTTAGGGTTTTTATAGGAATTTTATTTGTAGAAAATGAGCAGTTGGTTGACAGCAGTTTGGAGAATGTGTCCACATTATGTATGCTTGTAAGCTAGGAAAAAACTTTAAGCTAAAACCATTTATTTAATTTCTTTCACAATCTAACCCCCCCCCCCCCCCCTATTTTACAAATTATGTCCTTAATTCATTCCATTAAAAAAAATTCTTGCAACGCTTCTGAGCACATCTTAGCATCTCACCATTATTACACTCTTAGAAACTGACAATATGGATTTAGGGAGACCTATTCTTGCGGGAAGATTCTAGGGTTTTCAAAAAAATTAACTCCCATTCGTGAAATTGGTGTGAATGTAAAAAAATTGGTATTTCCGGGAATTTTAATGTAAAACAAAATTTTCAGACCAACTGACATACCAAGCAAAATGACATCCATTCAGTCTTTTATGAATTATACAAATATTAACAAAATGACAAATAAATAAAATAAAACATTTATTTTTGTCAATTTCCTATAAAAAATATTATAAATAGCTACATACTTTAATTCATGACACTGACACCTCTCTCAGTGTGAAAAACTTAAAATTCCAAAAAATTTATTCACTTTATTACCCAGATAGCCTTCCTTAAAATGCGCTATGATCACCCACAAAAATAAATTACCCAAAAAAATCATTAATTTTCTAGTTTTTTGGACGCAAACTGATCATAATATTTCAGCATATACGAAATGTGTACAAGACGCTGAATAAAAAGAATAAAATACATATAACGAGATAGGTTTCTATTTCATTAACATCTGAAAATGCGAAGATGTGTTTTTCAATTCTCTCTGTTGCTTTTTGAGTCGCTTTTTATTTAAGTCGTGGTGCAAACAAGAAGAAACCGCACATACCAATAAAATATATTGCACGCGTTTTTTTTCTTCTTTGAATTCTAATTTTTTTTTTGTAGCTGCTTATTTTGGGTCTTGTTTCAGTTCTTTTTTTTTTTTTGTTCTATATATAATTTTTTTTTAATATTTTAGATGTATTTGTGAAGCCTTCTACGGGTTATTATATAATGAAACTATAATCTCTCGTGATATCCGTCACTGCTGCGTTGCGTTTCTGTTTGTTCCTTCTTCGCTTGATCAATGATTAATTTTTTTTTAATATTTGAAATGAACAATTCTTTGAATTAAGGTACGGTAGAGGGTAAATCGTATGATTGAATATAAAAGGAAGACCTTTCATCTCAGACCACTGAAGGATACCATCCCAAAAAAATAATAAAATTATTGTGTATGTGCAGCCTAAACGTCCAACAATGATTTCTTTTCATTTTTTAGAAATACGATCTATTTTTTTGCAGTCGCGATTGACCATTTTTTGTTGTTGTTGTAGAAATTGAAGTTTTTTGTCTATTCTGAATAGATTTTTTTTTTTTAAGGTAAGACTTTTTTTCTCTTTGTGAGTATTTAAGAAAAAATCAAGTTTGATGCGGATCAATGGTAAAATTTATTCTTGCTTTCAGTTTTACTTTCACATTCAAGAATCTATTTTTTCTGTGGACTATGATAATTATTGGAAGAAATGAATGATATTGGCTTGATTGTGATCAACTTTGTGAATTTAATTAAAAGCTTGATTGAAGAGAGAATTGAAGTAATTTACAAAAATTCTAGGTTTTCAATCCCGGGTTTGATCCCGGCATTACATACATTTCAATCACAGGATTTAAAACTTAACCAAAATTTGACAGATTCCACTAGATAAATGCTTTTTGAGGGACTCAAGGCACCCCTAATGGCATAAGTCGGTTAACCGATCAAAAATCTGGAGCCAAACTAGTTTGACTCTGACATGGATGCAACTTGTTTAAAATATCGTTAAGCTTTTAAGCTATTAATTTACTTAAAATTTTGGTTTCCACCGTTGGTGTCAAATTCCCTTGATACATCCCTTCGACTGAGTTCTGAAAATTGGGTTTTAAGTGTATCAGGAGCTTTGCTATCCTATTTTGAGATTAATTTTATTCTTATATTACCTAAGGAGTTGGCTATGCCCAAGTTGCACCAAGTTGACTTAGAAACAAGGCCATAATCATCCTTCAATTGCAGTCTTACTAGACATGGATCTTTTAATAATATAATATTCATACCTTTGAAAATTATTCAGAATCTAATTAGCAATGCACTTTAACCTCCTCAAAAATCAATCATGCAATAAAACAGTGTTGTACGAACTTTTTGAACCACGGAACAACTTAGAGGGTAAGCCATGACCAAATTCGCACATAGCATATGTCATTTCCAAAGAATTTATACGACACACCAGTGTGCCGCGGCTCGCAATAAAAAAGATTTTGGAACATTTTTCTTTCTGAATCATAAATTTCTGGATGCAAATCAACTCTTAAATCTAGTATGAAGATTAGATCATGACATCCAAAAGATAATTTGTGAACAAAACACAAAGGAGGAATGACAATTTTCAGAGTTGTATGTCTACCAACCGACCCTTTACCAAAATTTAAATAAAACAATTTTACAATAAATTGTTAACAAAAGTTTGAGGTAGTTTCCACGCAGCAAATCTCGCATCGATTCTTCCAAGAATAAATTTGATTTAATAATTTTATTCATCGAGAAAAAATACCTTTGCACCAAAACTAATACAAGCCACAAAATATACATTTTTTTAATTATTAAACTAGTTTTCATATAAAGATGCTTTTTTCTTCTTCATACATTTTTTTGAGGTTCATTTCAAGATGAATCGCAAGATCTGTTTAGTAATTCATCGGTGTATTGTAAATTAAATGATGTGAATAAATTTAAACAAATTGGCAGTCATACTCACGCCACAGACAATAAATTGTGTGTCTAAAGAACACGTTTTTGTTTTCCGTCGGGTAAAGAAATTAAATAATTCTATTTGAAAAAAATGCACTCACCTTATTCGAAAAATCCCAGTTGGGTCAAGCCCTCCCAGCTCACCTCCATAAAGACGTAAAGAGACCTCAAGTGCACTAATAATTGTCACTTGAGACTTTAATGATTTAATAATGATAAAAAATATCTTTTTTTAAATTCTTTTTAACACACAATATTTTTTTTTATTACAGCGCAACTTTCACGAATCGCGTTCACAATGATGAATATATTTTTTCGTTAAGGAGCAGCAAAAATATGCACACAAAGAATCACAATTTAGAAATTCACTTAAAAGTTAAATTTGATTAATGTCTTAAATTTTTTTTTGTCTTGCTTATAAATAATCCACAACTACATTAAAATGTCACTAAATAAATATTTTTTATGTTTTTTTTTGATGATTATTTGCTTCTTCTTCTTCTAATGTTCAGTCCATTAATTACATAGAATTTTATGCAAAAATTATTTTTCACTTTTAAAAATCTCAAAAAAGCGACTTTACTTTATTAGAAATAAAACATAAACTTAAGCAATTTCTTCTTCTTTTTACTTCCAAAAAAGTTTCTTGCTAGAAAAAATTTTGTGACTACACTTGATCAACTTTATGTTCTTGATTTTCCGTAAAAACTTTAAGCTTTTTTTTTATTTGTGTGACTTATGCTTTTTTAATAATTATTTTTTGTTGGTTTATTTTGAATAATTCAAAAACTCCAAAGTCGGTTGCAAAATTTTTAATTTTTTATTTTTATGTTTTATATTTTTGGATTTTAATTTTGGATGAAGAAAAATTAAAAATTACTGAAATGAGAAGATTTTGAGATTATGTGTTAATATTTTTTTTTTATTTTTTTATAAGTTAATTTACTGGTGTGAAGTTACTTTTCTAGAATAATTGTAAAGTCTGAACAATTTGACTAGAAACCATTCGATTGATCATCACTAAAGCCATCACCTGAAGATCATGAACAACCTACAGCCAAAAATATTCAAACTCAAAAATCTGCTAACTTCACAAAAGTAAAATAATTATTAACATTTATTTCTTCTTTTGGATCTTAATCAGTGAACTGAGCTGAAACATCGCAAAATTTGACAATAATAAATTTCAATAAATTTGGATGTTGATGATTAAGATTTTATGATGAATATTTTTTTATACATTTGATGTGCGTGCAGACAAGTTTCTGAGAATTGTTTTTTTGTCATTGTCTGTGTGATTTCATTTAGTGACTTACTTACTATGTTGATATGTATTTTAATAAAAAGTTTACTCATTCGAGGCTTATTAAAGTTGACAACTTTGTTCTTATTTTATTACAATCAATTTTGTGATTGTTACAATCAGTAACAAAGCAACGAGACGACCGTGTTTGAAGATTTGTTGCTTTTATAAATAGGCTTAATAATTATTGTAATTAAAACAAGGTCATTTATAAATCATGACTATTCTCTTTGTCATGAAAAGTGACATAATTAGTGGGTACCTTAAATAATTTAACTGTTATCGAAAACCTAATGAATTTAGCAGAAAGATATTTTTTAAAACAATTTCTAGAGAAATATAATTAAAATTATATTATTTAATGGTTGTTAAGGTCAGATTTAAGGGATATGCCCCCCCCCCCCCTTTGTCAACAGATATTCTTTAATTTTAAATTTTTTTTCGCTACTCTCTTCATATTCCTAGCTACGCCCTTGATTCAATATCTTAAAAAATATAACATGATTCAGACCTACATCAACATTTGTCTTGCGATATTTAATTATCAATGTGCAAATTTAATTATTCAATATTTGTGAATTAATAAATTTTAGGAAAATCAAAAAAGAAAGGTGGTTATTAAATTAACAAATCAATTTTAATTATTTTTTCTATCAAGTTCAATGATTTGAAAATCAGAAATGAAAATCTATAAGTGTAAACTTAAAATAATCTTTATTTTCATGATCTAATGCAGAAAGAGCCATAAGAGATGTTATATAAATTTGTCAAAATTTTTGAAGATGCCCCTTCAAACAGACCATAGCTGAGGAGTGTGGATTGGTGCCAAAACCCCTGAATTTTTGAAATTTTCTTTGATTTATTAAGGTTTTTAGTCAAAAAATTACTTTTAATTGCCTCATCCATCAACCCAACTTCCCCAACCATTTTAGATTTTTTTGACGACTCTCCTGACCTTCTTGTATGAGTTTAAAGCATTTTCAAAAAAAAATCCCAAAATTCGAGACTGCAACTCTAAAAAGTGCGCAGCCTATGTTTGAGTCAATTACAATTACACAGTGACAAAATTTAAAAAAAAAATTTATTTTATGAAATGACTCGAGAGGACTCTCAAAAATTTAAAGAAAAAAAATAAGAGCCAATGACCCCTGCAAGCATCACGCACTTCCCATCAAAAGTCTCTATCAAATCCAATTCAACTACACATAAAGCTTTATCAATTTAATTTTCATAATAGTCATAGACTCATAAAGTCATATCCCAAGAACAAAAATTGTGTCAGATCACAAAAGGCAAAATCAATTTTCACCGAACAACACGACAAAATAGAATCGAGTGAGAATGAGAGATATAAAGGATAAAATTGAATAATAAAAAAATATGTGCGTCTGCAATAGAATCAGAAATCAATAAAATTGATGCATACACGGAAGGTAAATTCTCTCTGTCCTCATCCTGTTCCTCCTATCACAAAACTCACATAATAAAAAATTAAAAAGTGTCATATTTTTGTTGTTGTGTCCATTTGGTAAATATTGTCGACTATTTGAACATGAAAAAGTGCACGAGCTTATTGCATTGAAACTTCATATATTGCATTGCCATGAGCTTTCGAATTTAGAGCACATAGAATGAGGAGACAAAAAAAATTTTAGTGCCAATTCGGACACACAAAAAAAAAGCTAAATAGCAACAGCAAAAAAAAAGTGTGCAGCATAAAAGCCCATTTAATCATATTTTTTCCATATGATGGACTTTGCGTATTGTTATGTCTCTCGATTGTTATTGTTTGTTGCCCACCCTCCCCGCTCCATTCTCATGTTGCTACCGATGCTGATGATGATGATATTTGGCCTAATAAATGCATATAGGCCAGGCTTTATGTGTGGAAATAAACACATTTTTATCATTCGTACGACTAACGCACTAAACAACAATGCATTGCGGCACATTGCTGTTGCAAGAGATTATAAAGGTTTAGAGGCAATTTTGTGAAGTGTTTTATTTCATGTGTGATGCTTTTCGTGGACATACTCGAGTATGTTATTACTGAGAGAAGAGTAGAGTAATTTAGTGACTCAAGGAGGATGACTAGAGATTTTCGGGAGGTTATGAATGGTTTTTTTTGCAAATTTATTTTTTTTTTTTTTGGAGATCAGGATCGAGGTTATGATCCATGGTGGCACAGAAGTAAGTCTAATGATTCGGTCCAAATGGTAATGATGCTTATGTTTGGAGCAGAAGGAATTAAGAGAATTTTGAGAGATATGAGGGATAACGTATGAAACTATAGGAGCACTAGAGGACCGTGGCCACACCTCTAACAAGCACCCATTGAAATTATTTAAATTTAAAAACTTCTTGTAATGTAAAGGCTGGGAATCTCCAGAAACTCAAATAAAACTTTATTTATTCTACAATTTTCAATACTTCCCTCATTACTCCCAATTAAAAACCAATAAAAATTTTATTTCAATTTAATTAACATACCAATTGCACCTCCTCACTTTGATCCTCTCACTCCACATCGATGCGAAAAATGCATCTGAATAAGAATTTATCTACACCACCAAAATCCAGTCAAAACACCAAAGTGAACAATTACTGAAAGCAAGATGAAAAATTTTCTCACACACAATAAAGTCCAACCAAAAAAAAAGAAAATAAAACAACAGAGTGATAAAGGCACTTTAGAAAATCGCATTCACATGGCAACGATGAGCCTCAATGAAAAGTGAGATAGAAATTTTTTTTAATCCAGTTTCACAATAATGGAACGATTTGACTTTTCTAGTTCACCTGTATTCATATGCATATGTGTGTCCGGATTCAATTTCTCTCTCACTCATTCCCCTCCCCCCTCCCTTCGGGGTTATTTTTTCCATGAGACAGGAAAGAATTTTTTTCGTGTTGCCAAAAAAATTTATTTCTATTTTCCTCTATTGCGTTTATTTTTCCTTTGCATTTTTTGCATCGTCCATAGCCATATACATGCGAGTGAAACGTATTAGACGTGTCATTCGATGACAACAGAATTTTGGCAGCAACATTTTCATAACCTACTTCAGTATTTATAGGGAATTAAAAAGCATCGCCGTTCTCAATGATCATGGTCAATGCATGTTGTGCAATTCACGACGACGACGACGATGAGTAGCATCAGCGGGCAGTTGAGAAGAAAAAATAAAATCTACTCGAGTGATATAATTTATTTAAGGGTAATTGCCATTTTTTCACACTCTCGACACACTGTGACGAGAGTTGCATTGGCAACGATTATATACAGTTTAGTAGGAATGTTTTACACACATCACTTGAACTTCAATATTTTGTTTTTTGCTGCTGCTGATAAGAGACTGAGTGAGTTGTAAAGTTTATATGAAGTAGGCACAACGAGGAAGGAAGGAGGGGGATAAATATTGTTTTAGCCGTGACATGCCGCAAAATTATGACTTTATTCTCGTGTCCCATAGCTTGCGGAATCTAATAAATTTATTGTCCTTTAATAGACTTTCGTCATTCATCATCTAATAGACTTTACTTATCGTATAGACGTTACTTATCTAATTTGAAGAGATGAATGTCAATCAATATTATTGGCATATGTGTGCAGCTCCATACCATGCACAGTAATAATTCAATCGATTGACATTGTCATGAAGTGGAAGAGATAGATTTTAATTGTGTGTACCGAGCCGATTCGCGGATATTTCTTGAAATTAATTAGACAATTTTGCAAACATAGGAATAAGAAAAAAATGCTATTCTGGACACCTGCATAATGCAGTATATTAAATCATTAGTAATAGACATTAGCAGTTGATTAACTGAACTATTCATAAATCACTTTACAGAGCACTCTGTATCTCTATGTACATATTCTATTCTATTTCTGCACATTACTCATTTATTGCCATTGAATTCAAAACTAGAAATGAATTATTTTTTTTTACAATGTATTTGGCAACGTCTCCACTTCCGATCCAATTATTTCATTGATTTTTCATACTTTTTTTTCATGTTTCAGTTTCATTCACGCAAATGAGTTTTTGAATTTTAAATTCAATTTTTTAACTCGGTGTGAGCGACAGACTGAGTAAGAGAGGCATGAGGGGGAAGACAAAGACAGAGAGAATAAATCTGCACCCAAAATTGACTGGACGGCAGACAAAACTATTTGATTTCTATAAATAAAAATACATCTATTGTATCATCATTAATGCGGAGAGTCAGCAACAGAGTGAGGAGTTTGTATGCAACGCGACAAGCTGTGTGCGTCCTCTGCACTACACAAAATAAATATTTAAAATTTTGATTTTTTTTTTCATTTGCCAAAAACAAAATTTGTCTTGCACAATTAACAAAACTTTTTTCACACTCAATTTTTTCTCATACTACTTAGTGGATGCTTTA